ACCGGGAAGCTCGCCGGACTGGCTCGCTCATGTCACCGCTTGCTTTATGCGTCCATCTCGAGTGGTCCTGTTCCTAATACCCACCCCGAAGGACCAGGCGCCCGTCTCGCTCTGCCAAATAACGCGAGGAGACCGATGTGAATGTTGTCCTCTCGCTGTGGTTCAAACGCGCTCGCCGAACTCATCTGTGGACAAATCGTCGAAGTTCGGGAACTCTCCCACCTGCGGTTTTTGAACAACAGCTGCTGATAAATGGCGTTCCGCACGGAGGCCATGACGTATATTCGAAAGAAAAACGCGTCAGACACTGGCGGCGAGCCCTTTCTTCCCATTTCTGCCGAAGACGTTCCAGCACAACTTGCCGAGGGAGCATTCCGGATCATCTACTCTTCGGGGAGAAGCTGTTGATGCAGAAGAAACATATGAGAATTCTCGCAAGTCACGCGCGGCTCCTCCCGCTTTGACGATTCGGGAGAGTTTTTTCTTTTAACTCATCGGCGGGCTGACGAATCATCCATGAGACTGATTATTGAGTTGCATCTGTAGAGAAATTATCATCCGAGGATGGAGACGAATGACCGATCGAATACTTCGCAGCCGGGCTTCTTATCGAGAGTTCCTCCTCGTTACACCATGCACATAGTACTCGCTCTCTCTAGAGACCTTTGAAGTGAATCTTTTTCAGCGATTCTTCACGAGTTCGATTCAAAGCTCAGGATCCAAGCTCCAATCGTTTCCTCCACCTGGGATTCTGGGGCGATATCGCTCCGAACCCAACGAATATTAACGCCGCACTCGATCCGAGACGAGAATTGGGAAATGAGGTCAACGATAGCCGTTCTGATCAGTTAATGTCATCCGAATGCTTCAGGTCTTCAAATAGAAGAGAGTTTTCTCCGATCTCAATCTCCCTGCATCGCCCCTAAGTCCCCGACGCTCCCTCGACCCTTAGATCAAATGAGGATTAAAATTATCTTTCGTGTTTATTCGGAAGGACGATGATTGAGATTGTTTTTGATGCCCGGAAGTTGTGGATCAAAACAGTTAACGATGGGCGACGATATTCCTGACGATGTTCATCGCTTATCCGAATCACCATCGCTAAGCGCAATTTCGCTGACAACAGCAAAGAACGAGACCAACAACGCCAGAGCCAGCAAACACCTGCTTTGAGCAAGGATCAATGCAGCTCTGCCTCGAGTCATAGAATTGATCTCCATACGAAGCCCTTCTTCCGCTTGCTCTGTTGTCAGCAGCGTGCATTAGTCGTTTGTGTCTTCGTGTGTTCCTTTGAGCCCGGCAGCTCCGTCGTTGCTGATTCATTGTCCATATTGTAGCGGATGGCTGCAGTGATTTGAGTCATCACGATGCCCTCAACGTTGAGTAAGCTCTGTAACTCGGTTACGACCTTAAACCAACTTGACCGAGCAACGAACCGTCCGGTCGGGAGTGCTGGGCCCGACCCCAGTCTACGAGCTCCCTGTTCCTCTTCTCGTTGTATACATCCACATAGCGGATCGTGGAATTCCTTGTGCGTTGTGTCTCAGTAGATGCCCCCGATACTCTTCTCTCCCTTTCCCATTCTCCCTGGGCATTCACTCCGTTCTCTCGAACATCTCCCCGACCAAGATCCAAAGCCTCGTCCTTGCCTGTCTATCAGATTGTCCGCTGGCGGATGAGGGCAGAGTACTACTCTTACTACCGGCCCGATACGAGTAGAAGATGACGACGCTAAGTAAAACTATTACCCAGTGACTCAGCGATTGCAGTGGGGCACGACACCACTGAATGGGAAACCAGCGCGATGATGTCGACAACGACGATAACAACAAGGGCGATGGCGGGCTGGCGGGCTCGCTGTCTGTCTGTTTGCCTGACGGTCAGTCGACCAACCCGACGGTGAGATCCAGCAGGTGAGATCGATTAGAACCGACGACGGCGGTGGCGTCGCGAACAGAACTGGCGTTCCCACCGAGGACCAAAGAAAAAGGGAAGAGAGATCGCTTCTTTATCGACTCGGCTGTTGTTGTCCTGGATTCGTCTTCGTTCCCCGACCTTCCCCCATCGTTCCCTGAGCTCATCCTCGTACTCGCAGTCGTCGTCGTCCTCGTTGTCGTTGTTGTCTCTGAATCCTTTTCGCGAACGATCGGGAAGCCGCTTCAAAGCGATCTGAACTTGGTCTCGGGGACCGACCGACCCCAGAATCTAACGAGCTCCTGAATTGGTTCCGTGCCTTGTGAACGATCCGAAAGGTTTCGTGGATGGCAAGAAACGTTTTTCCGCGGAGTCCGCGTTTGATTCTGCTGCTCTCTATCTCTTTCTTGCCCTGGATCTCTCTTCCCCCGGAAGCACAATAGTTTTCCAATTTGGAGTCATGCCATGTCTCCTTGACGCAAACTGCGCCGGGGTGCGTCGCAAAGACGCACGAACTGACGAACTCGAGTCCTGGGAGAAGGTTGCAGCCGTTTGCGTTCTGACTGGCTGACTCACAGAGCGTTACGGCGGGCGGCGAATCCCGCGGCGAGGAGCTCGCGAGTGGAGATTTTCGCTCACGCCAATCCGGACGTTAGCGAAGTCAATATTGCCTATGGTGCAATTTTCCGCCTGAGGGCGCTGCTCCGGTCGAACGTTGCAAGCCTCTGCGGTTTGTTTCCGAATTTGAGAGATTTTCCACGGGCGCTGCCATTCGAAGCTGAATTTAGGGCAGACGTGGAACTTTTCGAGACGACGGAGCCCCATTCCTCAACGTTCTCCTCCACCATTATCTGCGCTATTCCTCCTTTATTCTCAAGTTCCCCACGAGACACACGGTCTCGGAGTTCACTTTCGAACTTTCGCTCTCCTAATCGATTCAGAATCTTCTACGGCCTGTTTCGCAAGTCCTCGAGTTCGTCTGAGACTCGAATTCGATTGCATTGGATTCTTCGACCCTATGACTTCTCCGTTTTCTACCAGAAGGGCGGCGGCTCCGATTCTCTCGATTGGATGTCTAGCTCGACCTCATCAATCTGAGGAAACACATTCAGGGATGAAGTCGCTCGGAGTTCTGCGATCCAACCTCGTTCGTTCGATCCTCCTCCTTTCGAGTCCCTAATGGAACGGCCTCTTTTCGCTCACCGTAACTTGTCCCGTATAACCCTCCACGGAACGTATCGTGCAATAGGAACGCCACCGAAATAGACAGACGTTCAGACGGACGGACCGACTGACTGGCTTGCTGTCAGGGGTAGCGGAACGGAACCCCAAGGCTGAACAATAGCGTGCCGCCGAAAACCCATGTGGTCTGCATGCAGTTCCGTGCGTTTTTTCTTCTCGTCCACCCCGCGCGCGTGCCTGCTCGCCCCGTTCGCTCTCTTCATGGCGGGGCACAAGAGCTCCGCTTCCCGCTCGAAGATACTACCACTACAAGAATCCGAACGCATCCGGAAACTCAGGTGTAGGTTTGTAGGAATGGGTGGATGGATCGCCGGGAGTGCGGCTTGGTGGGTTGGAGGGTGGTTGGGTGGGTGTATATTCGTGTGCTCGCTCGCGGGGTGTGTGAGCAACGCTGTTCGGCGTCCCGGGCACACCAGCGGCATTTCCGCTTAGATAGAGGGTCGATATCGCAGGTAAACAGTTGTAGCTGTTTCTTATTTGAGACTGTCGGCATGCATATATTGCACTCCTGAGTCGGCATTCGAGACCGTATTCTCCGGCCGCAGGGAGCCTCGAGGAAAGCAGGGAGGAAAAATTCCCCATCGCGAAAATTTTGTCCGTAGCCATCCCTGAAGCCGAGACAAGAGATTCCGTCGTAGTCGGCGATCCATCGACATAATAATCCTGGAGGGGAGCTCCCGGAAAACCCGACGTCCGTTTTTCCAACTCGATATTCTCCCCGTGAAGACAAAAACCGACTCCCGGTCGAGCTTCGGGGCTGCGGTAGCCAATATTATAAATTCTATTAGGCCGTCGTCGACGTCGCTATCCCGAAGTCCTCTCACGTTCCTGCCATACGACCTCCACTTTGCTATCTACCTACGTACGACGGCAGAGGCTATTCAACGATAGTTTTGGAGTTCTTTCAGCTTCCGCAGCCCGAAATCTGTCCGGATCCGTCCGATATGTCGGATCCGAATCCGTGTACCGTTCGTTTTCGACTCCGAACGCGCGACGCGCACGAATTTCAAAAGACCTCGTCATCCGAGTGACTCGTCAAGCGTATCAACTTGGGCGATTAATGTGGCGATAGTCCCCCATAAAAACGAGCCGCTTGTCCCGATAGGTGTCCTTCCGGGGTTTACGATGAGTTTATATCGAGGCAGCCGTTGCGTTTTGTTGCAGGCGACCATCGGTCCGACTGAGCCTGATGCGAGTGCGATTCGTTCCCGGTGTGGTCAGCTCGTTGCTCGGTTTCCCATATCGTCTCACAGCGTTCCCTGTTGCCTGTGGTCGTTGTGAGCAAAGTCCTCTTTCCTCGCCATTCCACAATCCCCTCGCGTTGCTTCCCGTTCCCTCGAAGCAATGGGTTCCGTGCCGGAGGCGAATTCCAAGAACGGAGCCGAGTCCCCATGTGTATATTTGTATGTTTGGAGTGGAAAATGATGGCGGTTGCATACTTTTCGGCTCCCGAACTTGACGATCTGAAAGGCACAACACAACGCCATCTGACGCTGATGTGTCCCGGAATGGTCCGACTTCATATATGTACAGACTAGAAGAATGCAACTACGAGCCCTAGCATCACAATGCGGAGACTTTCTGCGAGTGGAGTTCCTCGCATTGACAGCGGAACTCTTGCTGCGACTACGTACACTACAAGCTCCAGTCGCACGCGAGTCTGCATTGAAAACCGCTCTTACCGCCACCAGCTCGCGCGGTTTCGAGCTCATAGCGGATCCGTTTGTGGACGAATACCCCACGCGCTACCGTTGTTTTCGCGTCGGATATCACGGCGGCGTATCTCGTGAGAAAATCCCTACCAAATTGAAGAACAATTCGTTTTTTTTTCAGGAGTTTGTAACCACACTCTCGGCATGACAGATGACATCATACCGAACAACGCGATTACGGCCAGCTCTACCCACAATGAAGGAAGCGTCGGCCCGGCTTTCGGAAGGTAAGCGGTGCTTCTAGTTTTTCGCCAGAAGGTCATGTGACGTACATAGTTCATTCTCCTTCCGATCGACGCGGATCCCCGATCCCCGGAGAGAAGGTCAGGGCCGCTATCGGTGACGAGAGCCCGTCTTGCAGCGATGCGGGAGTATTAGAGAGAAATTCCGCTCTGCGCCGTCGAGAGCAACCGAATACAATCAACTGCAGCGAAGCTTCTGCATATGACTCCCAGACCAAGAACTCCTCGAAGATGTGATCCCGTAGGGGGATGAGGAGGGGTGGGAATGTAATCATGGGAACCGCTCGTGAAACCCGGCTGAACGCCAATGTTAACGAGCTTGTTCGAGTGGCCACCTCAAGAGGAGAATGTTCGAAAGATGTTCTCTCCTGTTGAGTTTGAACAACTCCAATTAAACTCTCTCTGTTCAGTTCCTCGCTGACAGCGCTGCTCCTGCACGGGAAGAATCGCGCGCTCACCCCCTCCCGGGACTTGAAATTCACCTTTCGGTAGTTTCTCAATTTGTGGGTTATGAAAGATATACATGTAGTTTTTTCGCTATGCGTCCCTGTCTCGCGATCGCGGATCCCACGCCAATCAGAAAGGTCCGCGGCTGAAGGGGGACGACGGCCGTCCGGGTGCGTTTTTCGAAGTTTGCAAACATTTTCAAACGACATTCGCCCCCCTCCTACCCCGTGGGAGTCAAGACGTGACATGTTGATTTTTGAGCGTTCGAGTGTACTCCAAGCACGGGCTAGGAGCCGTCGATCGTGCCGGCACTCTTGGTCCGCTCCCAATTAGATTGCGTCCAACTCCGAGAGAATCGTCATCGTTCTCCTCAAAAGAGGAAAAACAGCTCGACGAGGAGTTTCCTTGGAGTAGCGGCCGCGCTCTCCACCGGGACAGCCGCGACCAACAGTTGTTGGAGTGAGTGAACGAGCGAGCGAGCGATTGTAAGAGAGATAGAGAGAGAGAGATTGGGACGGATAGCGAGTTTCGTGCTCTCAGATGAGAACAGGGTTTTGTGTTTGCGGTGTACGCAGATTCCTCGGGCGCTATTTTTTTCATACTCTGCGCTCCTTAAAGTTTCCACGCGGGAACGTTTAAGGGTAGATAAGGGTAGAATGCATGATTGAACATATTGAGAGAACGTTACACACACATATCGACGTCGACAACGACGATGGCGACGGTGGAGAAGGGGAGCAAGAAAGAACCGTGTTCACTAGCGGGAACCGGGGCCGGCCGACTTATCTCGGGCGGGCGGGCGGCGAGCGAGCGAGGTGAGCTGAGGGGATCCAGAGAGAAGCGCCAATAGAAGAAGCGTTTGGAGGAGAATCCCGAGAGGAGATCCGGGGAGCTGAACGCTGGGACGAGATGCTGGGGCCAGAGTTAGGGTCGGGGCCAAGGAAGGAAGAAAAGGAGAACGAGCAGGCCACCCCACACAGCCGGCTGCTCCGCCACGAAAGCTTCTCGTCGCAGTTTGAAGTCTGTGTCTTATGCCGTTGTTGGTAGCGCTCCGGTCTCACAGAGGCTTCAATCGGTCGCTCGGTGGCTTGCCCGCCGTTCTATACATCTTTTTTTTCTCGAGTCTCAGCGCGCCTAACGGAAGCTTCGGATCTTTCTCTCGCTCTCTCGCTTTTTCAGAATCATTTGCTCCATTGCGTCTCTTAGCATCTTGCTCTCGTTTTGGCGTAACCCGCCCCTCCCATTATGGCTTCCCAGTGAGTCGCTGCTTTGGCTTCTCTGCGTTTTCACGCTCGCCGTCTCCTCATTCGAGCTGTCGACGCGGGCGAGAGTCGGCTCTACCTCGTTTCGTTCCATATCTTCTGCACTCCCGTTCGTCGTGGCTCTCTTTCTTTTGGTGTCTGCGCGTAGACACCTCCGACTGAGGAACACCAATGCGGTCCGAGTGGAAGAAGCGGATCGTTGCGCTTTCTTCTTCGTTTCCTTTCAAAACGACAATGCTTCCGAAAACTGTACAAGCACCCGACCGAGCCGCCGCCGCCTTTGCTGCCGATGCCATTCTCTTTTGGCTGTTCTTTAGATTTCAACTTTTCTTTCGTTATGACGGCTGCGCTCGGGGGAGTCGGGCGAAAAGTTTCAAAAAACCTCATTGACAAGTCGTCTGTTATCTTGACGATAGAGGCCGAACTGATCTTAATGGTCGAACAATTGGAACAGGTCGTTACCGCTGTTTCGAGGTTCTGTCAGTCGACGTTTGCGCCGTCGCGACGGCGCTCGGGGAAGCTCTCCTCATTCGTTCGCGGTCCCAAACACGAGAATTAATGTTGTAGTCCATCTTGAATGCCCCGGCTGAATCCTATACCTTCGGGGGATTTATCGAATCCGACATCGGTATGGGGCTCGTATCGCTACGGTGCGATGAATCGATCATCGGTCGTCGGTCGGTCCCCATCGGTTTCTCTCCCGGGATAAGATGAGTCCCCCCTTCTCCCCCCCCATAAGATGAGCCCTTCCGTCGTCCAGAGGACGCGGGGGACAGTAGATTGGAAACTGAACTTTCGAGTTAATCTCCGTAACCCATGGCGCGAGCGTTCGAGAGCTCTTCCTTTCTTCGCTTCATTCTTCACCTCCGCTTCACCCTCATTCTTAATTACTTCACGCACAAACGCGCTCATTATTAAAATCCTCTACTGCTTCTGCTGATGTGGGTCTGGTGGCGGAAGAAATTCAAAACGGCATCCGTCAACGAGGAGGAGCAGACGCCCGAACGTCTTTGTCTCCCGAACTCGAGGAGGGACTCTCTCCGACGGGAGGAACGGCGGCGGCATTGCGGGCGGATGCGCGGACGAGAGAGGACGTAAGCATCCCGTAGCACGGTTCGTCTAGACATCTCCTCTTCATTTGCTCATCCAACCGTTGTCTTGTGAAAAATCTGACAGTGTCGCCAGCAGCGGATTCGAACATGATTCGAATCGCGCCAGACTAGACGGACGATCCGTCGCCCTATTTAATATGCTGGTGTGTACGGGGACTGCTGCTGGTGTTCTGCTTCTCGGGGATGGTGCAGATGGTGAACTGCGACGACTCCAACCAGCTGTACCCCTACGGCTCTCTCGCGTTCTTCGTTTTTTCTTTCGGCTCCTTCTCCCGGTACGAACTCGACATATCCCGTAGTGATAGAAGAAGCCACTTCCTCGGTCGAACAGGATTCGCTTGCCCCGAGTTCCTTCCCGCTCAAAGCTCCGAGTTGATTTCTGCTCGAATGCATTCCGTCCCGACGCGACGGGAGCTTTCGCTTATCTAGTTGGCGATGCTTTCTGTGGGGGAGAGTCCCCCACGATTCACCCCGAGCTCTCCAGTCCTCGGTGCGCAACCCCGGTAGTACCGGACAAGAATCACATTTACGGTGTAGAATAAGCCCCAGAACGTCGACACGAAGGGAAGATCGAGACCGTCGAGGTGATTTGATGGCCGATTCCCATCGAAGGGCAAACGTTTCCGTGGAACAAACGTCTAGCGCTAGCTACGTACACACGTAAGTTGCGACTGCCGAGGTAATCGGGCGGACAGCGGCAGGTAGATGTGAAGAACTCTTCAGAAAACATTCATCCTCCTCGACGCGTGCCGCCGTGGCATCCCAAAAAACGCATCCACTCTCTTTATATAATTACCGCTGGAACCGAGAGGGTTCCTAGCTTGACGACGATCTCGTTGGTGGAAGTGCGCTCCCACCCCACGGGCGTGATACGGGTTTATTAAGTTAGTGAACTTTGTTCGTTCCTTCGTTCGTTCTTTCGTTCATTCAGTCGCCCACCAGCGCTTGCTCTCGACGTCGGAGAAAGTCGCGCATAAAAACGATCTCGCACGTGCGGCACCGATTCGTCTCTCATATCGTCTTCGGCGGCACGATCGTTTTAACTCGGATCCAAACTCCAACAAGACGACACCAACATGAGAGAGCAAAGACTGCTCAGGGAGGAAATAACGAAGATGATGCCTAACTCGCTCCAGGGAAATAGCATGCGGACGAGTGTTTCGTCTGCCTAGAACCGGGGCCTTCCGCGTGTTTAATTAGATGAGGAAAAACCAAACACCTGGATCTGACTTGGCGAGATTGTTGGCTGACCCTGTTAGCAGGAAGAAGACCGAGAGTTTTTGCCTTGGCCCCAACCCTTCTTGTCATGCACCTCGGCGAGTCCTCCGAAACTCGGACGTAGCCGACCAACAAGTGCGCAAGCGTTCCGAGTCTTGGATTTCTTAAGTGCACCGTCTCTCCTAGATCCCCATCTAATGGCGTACATGAGGTTCCCCGCGCATACGGTTGTGCAGCCGTGCGGCAGGGAGCTTTCATGTTCGAGCTCGCTAAGTTGCCCCCTTCGCTGAAAATCATTTTGAACACATTCACCGGAAGAGGAGAAAGAAACAGCACGAGGGAAACCATCAACTTTCTTCTAAGGGGTGTCGTTTGAACTGATCGTCGTCGCTGTTGTCCTGGCGGATTGCTGCCGCTGCCGCCGCGGAAAGGCTTTTTGGGTCATGACGAGCCATCGGGCTAGCTTGTAATATATGTATTGTAGTCGTGCGAGGCTCCGACGTCGGCCATCCACAACAAGCCCCGGGCTCGACTGACGTCTGCTCGAGGAGTGTTCGAAGAGGAGCTGCCGCTGCTGCTGCAATGGACGTGTAGTGTAAACTCGCTTGAAGGATTACCTTTTCCTGAGCGAAGGGCGGCAGGGGCTGCAGCGACGGAAAAGAAGGTTTTAAGGTTAATTCAGGCGCGATCCATCAGGACCCTCCTTCAAGTTTCCCCGTTACCTCGTCGTCGTAGACAAAAATGCCCTGGAGCTTTGAGCTGACGGGAGGCTCGGGTTCCTTCCGACGCTGCGGCTCAAATGGCTGGTCTGACTGACTTCTTACAGTCGCTGGTCTGAGCGGGAGCGGTTCCGCAGGCCGGATGAATTGACTCCGCCGCCGCCGCTCGGTCATTCTCTCATATGTTGGATTGTACAATATGTACCAGAGCCGTTGGTTGTCATATCTAAACGTCGAGACGTCGGTTAATAGCGGAAGTGTGCAGCCGACGCGACGACGGCTCGAACGAGGCCCTCAGTACGGAAAATTTTTCGGTGACATGCTTGAGCTCCCTGGGTCGCCCAGACCTTCGTTGCGACAGAGGTCTCGGGAATCTCCTCTCAGAGGGAAAAATTATCCAAAGGAATCGACGAGCTTTGGGAGGCTCCTGATGGGGAGAATTTCGTTCGCAATGAGAAAGCTGTGTTGCTCCGCTCCTCTGCTGCGAATCTTTACTCAGAACCCTTCGGATAACGTTCCCCGGGCTCCCACGGAAGAGAACTCCTTGTTATTGGCGGTAATTTACGCGAGTTCATTTTCTCTTGTTTGTCTCTAGAGATCCTTGCTCGCTTACTGGTGCCGAGATCAAAAGTTGCTTGGATTACCTAAGACGCCGGTGCCCTAAGCCAGGCTTGAGGTTGGAGACACTGCAACGAGTTTTGGGAACTGCCTCATCCACTTCATTTCTGAATCTCCTTGGGCCCTGAAATAGAACATCAGACAGAGCCTCGAGACCCCGAACTTGGCTGCACAATCCGCATTTGACTGAGAAGTTTTTCGGAGTGCCTCACACGAGAGTCTCGGACGAAAACTCGGAATTTCGACAGAGAGTCTGTCCTCCCGGAAAAGACGTTCACAGACCGCTCTCGGCCAACACGAGACGTAGCCATCGGTCCCGCTCCCTGCGATTCTCTGAAATGCGGCTCCAGACGCATTCCATAAAAAGTGTCCACCGGCTCGCCATAGCGAAATACCAAATCGATCGGAAGGATTAGGGCTGGTCGCCGATTGGCGCTTGCGCAACTGTATGAGGCGGCTCGATTGACGAGACGTGTAATCTGTCGCTTCAAACCGTTTCACTCAATGAAGCCGAGTGTCCACCGTGGCTGCTTCGGAACTCTAAATCGATTCCACGGCATCTAGGCGAATATTCATTAGAAGCGTGAATGATTTCCTTAGTCCGGCTGAATCTCCGCTCGGCATGCCTCGGGCTCTCGGCACGTTTTCATCTGCGATTCCGTTGCCGCGCTCGTAGTGTCGTGAATTATTTCCACCGGTTACTGCAGATGGCGTCCGTGTGCTCGGTTCTGCATGATCCCGCCGCAGGAGGTAGTTGTGGTTGGCGGTGGTGGTTAAGGGAGATTCGTGCGATTATTTTACCATTGCTCCCCCGTCTCACCTTCCGACCACCATCGTGAAACCATAACCATAAAGGAGAAGCCGCCCGCTCACCCACCTATCCGCGCGCGCGTAGTCTTGAATCGTATATTCGTGCTCCACCGGCTGCCTACATGCCACTATATCTCCACCTGGTAGAGGAGCGCCATTGCCTTGCGATACGAATCCAAGACGGGCTGCTCGGTCGGCTGGTAGGAACGCAGGCAGGCAGGTAGGTAGATAGGTGGGTCTGCGGATCTCGCCCCGTCGGGCTGACCGAGCCCAGCGACTAAACTCCGTACGTTGTCTGCAAGCGACACTGAATCGTCTGGCAAGATACCCGAGCGAACTCGCTCCTTAGGGTTCTTGTGTTTCGCGGACGACGACGATGGCGATGCCCGTCCAATCAATCGGTGGCCATGTTACTTAATTTCTCTGGGCCCTCGTGGGGTCGGAGCTCCTCCCTGCAAATAAAAGAACATCTGCGTACCCTGCTTACCCCTCACCACCGCCAGGGCTCTGCCATCCACCCCACCGCACTCGACCGCTGAGACCAAACTGAGAAGGTGGTCGTGGTAGATCCGAGCTGTCGAACCGTCCGGGGCAACGGAGCCTTTCGCCCCTCCGCCCCCTCTTTCCCCTGCCGGTATCGGTCCCGACGATCCAGGCAGTGGTACAACAGCTGCGATCCTAGGTAACAAGAATTTTTCGACTCGGATCGGACGCTTTTCCTTGCGTGTGTGTCTAGGATAATGAAACACCAAACTCGAGGGATTACCAGTTCCGATGCCACCGAGTTGAAAGCAGCACCTCCTCTTCTTTTTTTCTTCTTCTACCTCACTGCTCACCTGCGATCCTCAAACTCTTCTCCCGGTGCTATCAAACGCATTGTCGGCAGCGATTCGACCGCATCTCCCCGATTCGATACCCGACCGTATCGTTCCTTCCTCGAGAGCAGTCCTCGCGCGGAGTCCTGGTCCCTGGGTCATCCTCGGCTGGACCGGACGCTCGCCGTCTTTTTCCGCGGCGATGTCGAATCGCGGCAGGGAGCTTCTAACTCACAAGCGTGGAATCTCGGAGCGAAGCCGAGTCACGCATTTCGATTCACACCCAACGCACTGAAGAACGGGGAAACACCGGAAGCTGTTGCGGTGGAGAATCCGTCATTGTAAAAACGTTATTGGTTGTCTTCCATCAAAAAGCTCGGCGTGGAGGAAAAAGCGTCAGACGAACTAACTTGCTGCTTGTTCGTTCCGTCGTCGGTCGTCCGGCTAGCAGGGAATGACGGGAAAACGTCCATGCCGGCACGGATCATCAGGGATTCCTAAGGCGAGACGCGGATGTTGTCGAGAGTCTGAATGGTGGTGCTTCTGGTACGGAGGAAGTCGCGACGGCGGCCGCAGCGTCGACGTCGTAGACGGTGGTGCGACAAAGTTTCTCAAAGGAGAGCACTTGCCGATGCGCCAGCTGGTGTCGATGGAATTTGCGTCGAGTACATCCACGCGGGGCCTTCCGCAAGCGTTGTCGGTAACGGGTTTGACAAATGGCTCCGATTCCACTGCTGGCAACGTCGACAGCTAGTAGTCGTTCGGCGAGCTACGAGTACCGTTGCGATATACGTATTTTTGAACGACGACGTCCGGTCCCCCCTAACAGCCGCACTAACTTCCTGGTACGCCTAAATTCCGACACCTGCTCGGAATGCTGTCGAATCTCAACTGAGCGCGGGGATCAGGCGGTTTCGTTCCTCCGGCCTGGAAGTGGGTGACAGTCATCGCTGAAAACGATAGCGAAGCGGCTCACGAACGTCTAAGTCATTACCGAATCGGAGCTTCAGCGTGAGCGAGGAGAGATTTTAAGAATCCGTGCGGAATGGGAAGAGGACGGGTTCCGGACACTGAGAGACTTCCCCCTCGAGTAAGGTGCGGTTTCTTGTGGTGTAAGAATAAAGTTTTAATTTTGCCGTTTCTCGTTCGTTGCAGATTGCACAGGGAGAATAACGGAGGCGCCTGGTGTCCCAAAGGTCAGATCTCGACGGAGTCGTACGAGTGGCTCCAAGTTGACCTCGACGGATACCACATCATCAGAGGAATCGCCGTTCAAGGCCGTTTCGGTAACGGACAGGGTCGGGAATACGCCGAAGAATTCTTAATTGAATATTGGCGTCCCGGAATCAGCAAATGGGTCCGATACACCAACAGGACCGGGATCTACGTGAGTTTCCGAACACATATTTCAGACGCTCAGGGAGCCCTTCCCGCAGCTCGTCGAGAATCCGAGAGTCAGAGGGAAGCCTCCCCCGACCGGGAATGTGCGCGTCCCTGATGTGCGCGGAACTTCCGTTCCAAACTCCGCAATCATGTTGGACGATGTGACGGGTCGCTCAAGGTACCCTCGCAGCGTCCACGACTATTCTAGAGTCGGCTATTAACAGGAGAACGAATCATTGGTGTAACCTTGGTTGACATGCGAGAGAAGCGTCCGGAGCGATTGTTGAGCTTTTGAATTTACACCGAGTCCTCAGAGACTTGAGCGGTGCGGTTACGCGTCGATGCCTTGAGCCGCTGGTCCCGAAAGTAGTGCTTTCGCTGTTCCACCCGACGCGAAGAAAGCGGAGAGCCGATCTCAAGAAATACGATCTCTGTCTCCGCATGAAACGCTGCCTCTGTTGTCACAAGGGCAGCCCTTGTCGGGCAGGCCAAAGAGTCAGTTTTTGGATGAAATGCGAAATGCACCAGTGATTTCTTTCACCTCTGTCTTGCCAGAGAAAGCCGCCGAATCTCTTTTAAACGATCAAAGTAATCACCTAATCGCGAGTAGCGATCTTCGGTACTTTCCAGCTTTCGCATCCACTCGATTCGTTTTGCCGCTCGTGCGATCGAGCGAGCGAGTGCGCGCCTGCGGTCACCCGAAGCGCTTGATCTTCTTTCCTGGTTCGGATAGACCGACTAAAGGGCTTATAGAGCGCAGACGAAGCGTTCGCGAACGATTCTGTGGAGGGAGACGTCCCGAAAGTCGAAGACAGCTTCAATATTTCCGAAGTTTTCCTCTTCGACGTTCTTGGGGTGTCTTTTACGGAACGAAGCATGCCTGCAACCGTTCTCGGAGCCACTACTCCCGTTTCGGTTGGTTTGCCGTTGTCACAACTGATGAGAGTCCCCGATTTCCGCTGACTGCCAACGCTCCGACAGGCCACAGGGTGCGCGAGCCTGTCGGCCAGACGCAGTACTCACTCACTCAGGCTCCCGAATAGCCTATCTCGCGTTTTCAATCATGGCGGCTTCGCGACTCGATCGAGGAATATATCGAGGTCGGTAAGGAGGGACGCGGGAGCAATCTTTCCACCGGGGTCTGTACTCTTTCGCCCGTGCTCCGCCGCTAGACCGATTGTGTTTATCATGAGCTGAGCCCTATCGGTCAATTATTGGTCCTGAGGGTCTACCGTTCGCAGGGGCATTGACAAACACACCGGGCCACGGACGATATGATGTGCGTCTTACGACCTGTGGTTGGAGTTCTTATCGGACTCATTAACCTGGGTGGAGGGCCTAATCAAGGGCGTGGTCGATTCGACGACTGTCAGTCAGTCAGTCAGTTAGTCTTCAGCGACAGCAACTGGTCCTGCCTAGCGAAACTCCTTGACCTGTTCCTTCGCTCGTCCCCTTCACAATGTCGCCGAGCATGTCGTCCTTATCCTCGTGAAGGTCAATAGGCAGTGATCAGAGGCGTAGTCTGCGACGTTTTTCCTGACGGTCCCGGAGCTTCTTCAGGATTTTTTCATGTTCCTCTCCTAGGATACGATGTGGGCTCTCTCGGTGCTCTCCGTACGTTTCCGATGGATTGACGATGAGCCGATGAGCGAGCGCTGCTCATGAATTATATACACGAAATAAGAAACAGCAAGTTTTGGTCGTGGCACGTTCATTTTGCATACGTGCCAAGAATCCATACACACATCGAGTGAATGGCCCTGCCGCAATTACCCACCCCGCACCGGTAGGCAGCTGGATACCGGGTGTTACAGCACACCGAAAACCGGCAATCCACGGTTTCACGGGAACTTTCGAGGATCCGACTCCGCTCCGAGATGGCGATAGCTCTGACTGTGAGTTTGTTTTGACGGAAAATCGATGGCAATGGTGAACGCGATAGCCGTCGAACTGGGTTGGCAAGACGTGGGACGTGACCGCGTTGATGGCTTCTGAAGCGAGTGAATCGGTGAGCTGACGAGTTCATTTCCTGTGCTCCGACAAAGCGACTTTCCTCCTCGGGCCGATGTTTCCACCGGGGATCACTCTCCGCCCTGAGACGGACCGCCACCGGCTTCCCCGGGAAAAGATATTATCCTCCGGACAGCTCGCCTCTGAAAAGCGTGTTCCCAGAGCGGTCGGGCCGAATTATTTTTTTCCACGTGCTTCCGATTGTGTTGAAACTTCGACCGGTATTCTTCGCCTGAACGGACCATCAGTTAAGACGTCGGAAACGGCAATCTCAGCGGACTCTCGTTCCGCTGGGTGAAGTTTTTTGCTCGACCTGTGAGTCCACCGCCGGCTCTGGCGCGGAGTGGACTTGTTCAAGCGTTCGACAAATCAAGCGAAAGCACAAGCATTCGACCGAACGCTACCGGGTACATGTGGCTATCACATGATGAGCTCACAAAACTTTGTCTTGTTAGACCACCGAGGTTCCCAGCGAATGTTTCCCCGTTCGATTAAACACACACACACGCAGAAACAAACATAACTGACAACAATGTCTCACGCGGAGCGCGTCCAGGCGAGAGAGACTGAGAAAGCTCGGTGTTTAGGGAAGAGAGGTCTCTCGGTGCTCTGAAACCGGACGCTAAAAACTGGATACTACGATTCCAAGGAGACGACATGTATGCCGTTGGGAAGAGGAGCGCAGCCTTTATGATCGTGCATGAGGCGGCAGCCGCGACGACGACGACGATAGAACAAGGAAGCATTTTATGATTTGTTTTATTCACGACGCTAGCTCACTCAACGGATGAAATGAGGCTTCGGCGTCGTATGGGAATGACTGCAGAGAAAAACGAAACGAGATAAGAACAACTCGGCGCTGCAGGACCGTCTGCGGAGGAGGAGGAGGCGGCGGCATGAAACCTAAGAGGGGAACTGAGAAATGTTGCGTCCGACTTTACGATCAGGCAAAGCAGAGCAACCGGCCACTTTATATAGATAGGCAAGCGAGACCATGGAGGGAACCGGGAAAGTGTTTGCTCTCCGGAGCAGTGGATACCTAAAGCGTGGAATATCCGTCAGCCTCGGATCCCTTGTACGTCAACGGAGTCCTGAGACGACGACGTATCTCTCGTCCGTCTCGGCTACCGATTTTTCTGAGCGAGTTGCTGAGCCGAGCTCTTTTCCCTCGTTGATCCCATTTTGGCTTTTCGACTTTGTTTGGCTTCCGCTTCCTCTCGCCCAGCCATCGTCACTCTCCTGCCGACGGCCGGTTTGCACTCGAGCTCTCCACGGCCATTTCCTCTGAGGCTGAATTTTTAATTAACGGATGTTCTATGGATCCGTATCCGATGGCTACGCTCGGTTCCTCTCTGCGAAGGCGCTGATTCTCCAACTGCCGGAATCTGAATATGCTTCCTGCTGTGAAAGATAGAACTTTTATTAATCTGGAACGAGCTACGAACTCGCAGCTCACGTCCGTCGTCGTGCGCGGAGCGACCGCTTCTCGTCGAGGTAGCCATGCTGAAATTCAATTATGTCCGAAAGTTCGCACCATTATCAAATATCGGAGCGCGATCTCCCGTCCCGGGGAACCGTTTGTTATCCAGGTCTTGCAGACTCAGGCAACTGGAACCATGGACCGACAAGAGGGAGGCTAGCTAGCGCGTAGACGGGCAGGCGGGCGTTCCCGCGCATAAACTCACAAACACCTTCCCTCGAGCTCTCTCAATGATTTCAGTCCTTCGAAGGCAATCGCCAACAAGTCCATTTATTCAAGTTGATCGGTTTCAATTCGAGTGCAACGTTCCTCGATTCGGGCCTGTCTCTCTTCGTCGCTTTTTCTTCGTCCACTCCGAATACACAAACTCGAACGCCGTGACAGCATCTACCATTTGGCGTCGAGAGAGAAAAGTGAACGGATCAGGGCACGGTAGGCAAGTGGGTGCGTAGCCGCGTGACCTGCGACGAATGTGAGGTTCACGCAAGGGTCTTGTCGTTCCTTTCATTCGGAGAAAGGAACCGAGTGATATATTGCCTCGCAGACGGCCGACTCAGCAGTGAAGAATTATTCCTCATCCAGACGGCACGGGTCTCTCGGAACGACGAGTCTCAAGTCTTCGGGATGGACTTGGAACTTGTTCTATAGTCGAAACTGTGACAGCCTTCGTTACTGCAAACAATCAGTCAGAATGATGTTTCGCTGTATCGATGGTTATTATCCAAACGGGCGCATCGGCGACGTCGTGCCGATGAGACGAAAAGCGTGCTCCAGTTGAGGACGGAAACTTGACGCCAAAAGTCTTCGGAGCACGTCTGAGGAGGAGCTTCGGACCCGCCCTACCGCTTTGTCGGGGCTCCCTAGCTTCCCGTGAGATCGCTAACCTGTGACGTTTCGGATCCCTCTGGGAAAGAAGAAAAATTAACGAGCAAAACTTTCACTCCGTTGTTGGCGCGCTCAAGCTGGGGTTAATGAGCAAGTCCTGGAGGGGACAGATACCTAGACGGACGGATCCTCAGTGTCAGCCTTCCTACCCACCGAGCGACCCACCGACCAGCCGGCCGGCCGGCCCACCAACGAGCGATGAGCAGACCGACCCGCAGCCACCCATGGAGCGGGTTGGAGTCTGTTGCGTCGACGATCCTCGCGAACTTTTACCTGAACAGATGGTGCTGACCCCGCAACGCGCGGCTGAGTTTCCGCCAAAGGGCGATCTTCCCAGGGTCCGAAACTTATCTCTCCGAGGGTTTCGGAAGTCACCCCAGCCTCATACGGAAGACCCGTGCTCTGTGTGAAGTGAATTGGTACCGCAATTGTAGGCGCTGGAAAGAGGGTTCTCTCGGCTCCGGTTTCCGCGGTATACGGTTGTGTTTTACTGCTGGTCCTCCTCGCTCGGAACCCGTTGGGATGATCTGAATGAGCTTGCTCTCAACATGAGTGGGGATCTCACGCCTTGGAGCTGAGCGATATCTTTGGAGGTACCCCTCGAATCGGCGGGGATCGTGGCCGAACGACCGTCATTCTCGTTGTCTGCTGGTTCATTTGCCCTGGTTTCGACCCGACTGACTGGCCTCCATGTTGTCACTGTCAAGTCAGCTCGGGACAGAGCGAATCATGCAGGCAGTCAGTCAGTCCGTCAGGCTATAGTGTTGATGGTGATTCTCTCTAAAGAACTGATTAGCACGGCTTACGACAGATGCTTCTCAGAAAAGCCAACAGCTATAACGCACTCTGGACGCCACTCAAGCAGGCGCTCTCGCCCGCGCGCTCTGAGAGTATCTGGAAATGATAGCAATGCTCGCTGGTCTGGAGATGAAATGGAAGGAAAAATAACCAAAGCCCGGCTTTGTCTCACCGAAGGGTATCAACAGGAACTTCAGATGTGGAGCCAGAGAAAGAGAAAATAAAACACTTACCTGATTGTCAGGTCAGTCGGTGGCGGTGGGTCCGTGTAGCGTCACTCCAGAGACGACTGCCAGATGTTCCGCGAAGACTTTTCCCTCCATCCACGGAAGAACACTGGAAAATCAAGAGAAGCTCGTCGAGAAAATCCAGTGGAAGAGCTCGACCGCCCCACCGTCGCGCTGACGGTGTCCAAAGCGACGACGACGACGGTGGTAACAGGAGCGAATGTCCGTGAGAGTCTCGAGACACGGCGAGCTCGCAGCTCAAGACACCCGTCCTGTCAGACGGTTGCCAGGACGACACCGGTGTTGTGTCGCCTGTCGACCTAATCGGATAAAACTTGTTATCCCCCCATGGCAGCAGAAGTAGCGGCCACCGTGGCGGTCGCTGCTGCCGGACAGCTGTGTGCGGTAGCCCAAGGAGTCTCGTAGTGACAATTAATGTTGTTCTCGAAATAAAAACTCCCGTCGATCCGACTTTGTCCTGCAGAACAAGGACACGGGGACAGGAAGGAGGAACCGCCAAGACCATGGTACATATCTCCGTCCGATAGATTTTTTTTTCCGTCTCCGACGGAATTCAATCAAAGGTGGAACAAATGCCGAGCGAGAGACGGGTCTCTGTCCGTGCTCGGGAATCTCTTTTTTCCTTGGTCCCGGTCTCAGCGGCTCTCCGTCAGTGACCGTGTTTCGTTCTCGTGGTCTCGACGGCACAGCGCGAACGGCAGCGGTTGGAGTTTGTGTTGGTCGGTTTGCCCGCTGCTGGGCAGGAGGCCATTCAAGATGTGGGGTGGGTGTTTCATTTGGGCCCTTCCTACCTTCTCTCGGGGTCCAATTTGATATTAATAAGATCATTGTGGCTGCGCGGTGGGGAGCCTAACACCCCCATGCGCCTGTTCCTCTGTCTGTTGCCAGCCGGCGGGTCTCGCACACCTCGTGTGAGTATTTCCCCGGCTGTGTCGGATCTTAAGAATTCCTCTTTTGCACCTCCCGCTATTACTCGATGCTTCCCCTTGTCCGCGATTCCGCCCGGAAGCGGCTGAGCCCCTGCTCCCGGTCCGAAGTCTGCTCGGAGCCCTCGCGCACCGGGTCCGTGGCTCGCTTGCGGCAAGCTCCACGTTTTTTATTCGAGTTTCCTTCTGAAGATTCTCTTGAGGTCAGCTCGACGATGCCCCGGATGCATCAATGGGTGACCGGGTAACGTACTGACTACAGGAGGCTCTAGCGGAGAAGCTCCCGCCATGGATCGCATCGCACGCTTCACTGAAGGTGTCCGCTGGCTCAGCTGTCCGAGACTGGTTCCACCGGCTGTACCGCGGAAACCCTATGTTTTCCTGAGCGCTGTTCGGTGAGAGCAAACATACGTAGGAAGCCACGAGTTCCACAACAAGAGGGAAACTATTTCTCTTGCAACATCTGACCTGATATTTTGCTCGGTCGACTCGTCGCTATCGCGAACCGAAACTTTTCTGTTCGTGGAGCGCGTGGAATTATCCACGATCGCCGACGGCTTGTCTCTCGAGGTCGACAGTCGAATTGGCTCGGAAGTGTGCTCGGAGCTGCACGAGCTGTTTACAGAAACACGAACGCATACCACGAAAATATCCCACGAGACTGGATCTCTAGGTATCGGTGTGTGTCGCGAGTAGCTAGAACACCGGAGGCTAAGCGGTGGCTTCCATCGGTTCGGCTCGACTAAGCCCTCACTACTAATTAGAGGTAGCAGCTGATAAACAGAGAGCGGCTCGGCGCTGCCGAAATCATATTCTCGACGCTCAAAGCTCTCCACCCATATTTCCACCCTTTTGACGGGCGTGCGCGGCCCGCGCTCACTCCTTCTCCCCATCTCTCGGTCCACCCTCGGTGCAATTACGGTTGCTGCAAATGCCCTCCTGATAAGTGTATGAACAAATGCCCGCTCTCCGCGCCCCCCCCCCACAACTTGGATCGCTCGCTATCTGCTCCTCGTGCTCGTGCGCTCCCCTGCGCTCCATCGTCGTCGCCGTCGCGATGGTGTGGTGTGGATCCATTATTGCATTTTCGAGCCGCTGACAAGGCCTCGAGGATGATGACTATTGCAGAGATTAAACCATTTCCGCTGCGGCAACTGGCGTTGCTACGTCGTCGTCGGAACAATTACTCTATTTTTTATTCTCGTTTTTCCTGCTGGAACGTCCTGATTTCGAGTCGGTGACACCCTCGAAACGCCAGTCGTGATTTGCGAACGATGGGTTCCACTGGTGGCGTGAAACTCGATAGGGACCAGTTGTTCGAGCAACAACAGAGCGAGAAAATTCGGCGAGAGGACATCGCTTGTTAGACTAAGATCGGTCCATGTGCAAGACACGCGAATGCGTTGGTTATCACCTTGGGCGATCAAGCCCAGTAACCTTTAGCTTATTTAGCTGGAGGAATCCCCTCGAGCCCTAGTTACCGATGAGGCTGAGCATAGGGTGGATGGCGCGGGTCCAGTGCTGCGCCCGGCTGACCGACTTGCGAGACAGCTGAATCTGAGTCACCTAACAAAGAAGGATCAGGTGTTTGGTCTCTGATCAAAGGACTACAGGTGGATCTTGATGCGCGTGATTGGACGCTCGAAGGATGAACTCGACGGGTAATGGGGGATGCATCGGCAAGGGAAAGATTAGACGCTGCAAGTCCGATAGCACTTGGCACGGTGCTACACATGGTCATCACTGCCCTGGGTCTCGTTCTCGCAGAGGACTTCTCTCTGCTTATTGGGGAACGGTGATTGTCAGCAATATTACAGAGAATCGAGGCACTGAAGCACACCGAACACCATTTATTCTAATGCATTCTATATTAGGTCTGTTTGCTAGTTATTCGTTGCCCCCCGGTCCCGTTTTTGAGCTGATGTCGCATAACTTCAATTACCTTGCTTGCAGATTTTCGAAGGAAACGAAAATACGTACACTCCGAAATATCAAGCTTTCGAGCCGTACATCGTCGCCGAGAAGATACGCGTCGTGCCCTACTCTCAAAACATCCGGACGGTGTGCATGCGGGTCGAACTCTACGGATGCGAGTGGACACGTAAGTTTGCCGATAAGATACCTAAGCCCGCCTAGTCAGTATGAATCATGATTTGTTGCTGCGGTTTTCGTCGGATGAGAGAATGAGAGGGGGAATAGAACCAAGCGAGCTGACTAAAAGCCCCGGAGCGGAGATGCCTGAGCCCAGCGACCATCTCTCCGGACTTCTTTGTACCATGACCCCACTAGATCATCACACTCCATTATTAGGCTCACTCCCTGCTGTATAATACGGCCTTCCGTTAGCCGGAGCTTCAGCTGACCCAGTGAACTGCAATTTATTCTATTTTATCCCGTCGGCCTATCTCGTCCTTCATTTAGGAAACTTCCCTCTGCTATCCGCTTCTCCAGGGCCAAGGCCGATCCTCAGGATCCGTATAATGGTCCCAAGCCCGCGAACCGTCACATCTATTGCGAGGGGTGGGGGGCTAATCCCGGGCTGAAGCGGAAGAGACAGAATTATTCAATTGCCGTCGCTTTCTTCCGTCTATTCATTGTTTCTCCCATTGTTCGTTGACTCACGAGTATCACTCTCGCGGATCTTGCAACCGCATACTCGATGCAGGAAGTCAGCCATTGAGGAGAATTCGCCTGCGGTCCGAGGGGCTCAGCTGAAGTGAGCACCAGGCAGCGGGGTGGCAAGGAGAAAGGACATGACGGAATTATGCAAATGTCATACGAGGACCCACCGGGAGAGCTCCCTCGATGTTTAGGCAAATTCGCGAGCAAATAGCTTCAGTTCACCGGGGCAAAACGTTCACGATTCTTGGAAGCGCCTCGCTCCCCCTAGGAACATCAATCAAAAACTTGTTTCCGAAGGCTCACCGAACAAACCGGTTGCGACGGTCATGCAAAGCTCGGCGTTGCGAGTGAACACCAACTCAACAACGGTGTTTCCTCTTTATTTCAGAGGGAATTGTGTCGTACACTATCCCGCAGGGCGATCGTTTCAGCTCAACGGTTGACCTGTCCGATAAAATCTACGATGGTGGACGCGACGACAGCACACTCCATGACGGACTAGGCCAGCTCACCGATGGCGTGGAAGGCGGCGATAATTTCAAAGCCGAGTACTCGAAGTTCGGAAAAGGTTACGAATGGGTCGGCTGGCGTAACGACTCGACGCACTCGAATCCGCTGGAAATGATCTTCGAGTTCGACACCGTTCGGAATTTCTCGGCCGCCTATTTCTATTGCAACAATCAGCACACCAAAGACGTTTCGCTCTTCAACTCGGCCAAATTCTGGTTCTCTGTCGGTGGCCAGTGGTACGTCGAGGAGCCTCTAGTGTTCAAGAATATGCACAACCCGCTGCCGGAGAAAGCCCGCAACGTCACCATCCGCTTGCACCACAAAGTCGGCAAGTTTGTCAAAGTGCAGCTCGCCTACCGCTCCGGCTGGATCCTCCTCAGCGAAGTTTCCTTCAGCTCAACCATCGCTAATGGAACGTTCCTTCCCGAAGAAGAACCCATCGCTCCCCCAGTTGGTGAGTGGGCACTCCTTCTTCTCCTCGAATCGCGGATCCCAGATCATCAGACATTCGAATGAACCCTCCACCAGTGGATAATATCATCCGATCAGTGAAATATTTCTCCCATTGTATTTCCAGTTTTCCCCACGGTGACCGAAGACCCCATCATCAAGCAACACGTCGGCATCCTGATCGGGATTCTCGCCGCTGTCATAATGCTCCTGATGTTGGTGATCTTCATCATCACGGTTCGAAACCGACAGAGGAAACACACAACCCCGCACGCTATCCTCAAACCCATTGGCACCGCAGACAACCGAGTGACCATCAACATGAAGGACCTCGCGCTTCAGTATCAGCCAAAGTACGCTCTCAACGGGAACATTTACGGTCAAGTGAACCTCGACGACCCCGACAAGCTCCTATATCAAGAACCCGCTGACTTCAAAACTCCAATCTATCCGGCAACGTATAGCAATGGTGAGGAGTCTGACGAAAGACGAAACTTTGTGGAAAAAAAAGATAACTTAGACCTAATGACCGAGCTTTCCCCCAAAGGAGACTCACACGTATTGAAATTCTTTCTCCATAGTTGTTTTCCTAGCGGACTCCTCGCGCGAGTACGCCGTGCCTCAGGACATCACGACGCCTAGAAGCCCGAAAACGCTCAACAGGAACTGTTCGCCACCGACGTTCGGACGCGCTATCAGAACTCAGAGCCCTACCGAGCATTACTACGCCGCCACCGACGTCGTCGCAAGCCTTCCGAATATCCAGGGCGTGAGTGGGAACACCGTCTACTCAGTGCCCAGCCTCGACCTGTCGACCAGTTCCGCAAACTCCTCCGGGGATGACTCCAGCGCAACGCTAAGGAACTCGCCTCATCTCTCGACAACCACGCAAGTTCGCGAAGTTCCTCGACACAGGATTCGCGTTCTTGAGAAAATAGGCGAAGGACCCTTTGGGGAAGTTCACCTTGCCGAAGCCGAAGGTACGATCCCAAAATTTATTCCTTTCCGCGGGGGCGTGTCCTGTTCAGAGACACTGTAGGTCCCCTCTATACGCTGATCTACATAGGTGTCCTTCCCCAAGCTCACGCCTCCCACTCGGAACTCCCATTCGCGTCATTCTGATTTTTTTTCCTCTCGCAGGTATCCCCGAGCTGGTCGACGTTCCCTGCACATTCGGCTCGAAATCTTTCGTCGCCATCAAGTCACTCCATAGGAACAGTAGCGAAGCTGCCAGGAAAGAATTTTACAAGGAGGTGAAAATACTGTCCCGCATACGAGACCAAAACATCTCCCATATTTTGGGGGTGTGCACCAGGGACGAACCACTCTCAATGATCGTCGAGTATTCTGAGCACGGCGACCTCAACGAGTTCCTCAACGAACATCTCCCCGACACATTCGCTCCGAGCGGAGCCACCAAGACCTTGAGCCATGGGACTTTGATTTTCATGGCGACTCAAATTGCTTCTGGCATGAAGTACCTCGAATCGCTTAACTTCGTTCATCGAGATCTCGCCACCAGAAACTGCCTTGTCGGCGCGGGTTACGCCATCAAGATTTGTGACTTCGCCATGAGCCGATCCGAGTACAAACTTGACTATTACCGTATGCAAGGCGGACGCAGCATGCTGCCCGTCAGATGGATGTCCTGGGAGTCCATCCTGTTCGGAAGATTCTCCACCAAGAGTGACGTATGGGCTTTCGCCGTGACGCTTTGGGAAATGCTCACATTCGCCCGACAGAAACCGTTTACCAATTGTAGTGATGACATGGTCGTCGAGAACGCGCGCCACATGTACAATATGGACGGGCGTGCCGTACAACTCAACCAGCCACCTGAATGCCCGAAGGAGATCCTGGATCTCATGCGCGAATGCTGGCAGCGAAACGAAGCCGACAGACCCAACTTTAGGGAGATCCATTTGTTCTTGCAGCGCAAGAATCTCGGTTACTCCCCACAAGCTTAGGGACTGCTACATGCTGCCGCTGTTGTGTAACTGAATCATACAACTCTAGGGAACCCCAGGCATCTTCGATACGGCGGACGTGCAGGTGGAGTTCGAGAATTTCATTCGTGCGACGATGACAAGGACTCTGCTTCGACAGATTGTCCATGAGTCTTTTCGCTCCCAATTATCATTTTGCCATGTTGTAGTCATCGATGAACGCTTGTCGCGAACATTTTTTGTATCGAATGATTGCTGAAGGGCGCTGCTGCGCACCAGAAAGAAAGAGCGTGAATGACGACTTCTTATATCCGGTGTTACTCTAGTGACAATGGTCATTAATTTGAGTCGTATGTTCCGGTCATCCCATGGGAATCTGAAGGAAAACTCACTCGTGTGGAGTGATTTGGGTCGATGTGTTTCAAATTGATGGATGCTTTAAAGAACAAAGTTATTTCTCAGCGATTCTCGATTCCGGAACCATTGTAAATATTCAGACGTAGAGCGAATCGCAACAACGAGGACCCGTGAACAATGCGGATTGAATCAGCCTTGCAGATCAGCACGACGATCTCAAGCCATCCTGCAGCAAGTCGCTCACATTTCCTAATGAGCTTATTTATTTCACGCCATCGAAACCCAAGGTCGGGAACCGTGTACGAAACGCATATTTAAACGAGGCATCGATTTGAGTTCCTAATACCCTTCGTTATGAACTTTCTGGTGAAGAATATGAGAGACACAAGACCCTCTGCCATAGCAATAGTCTCAATCAGATCTTCGATTCCCAACCTGCACGACTGACAACCAGGGTCCAAGATGAATTTTAGATGGCAGCAGACAGCGCCTCGATCGAGTGAGTACAGTGAGCTGTAATCGACCATCACAGTGACATTATCCCTGGCATCAATGGCGATTTTCATCTGGCGAAGAAGCGAGCCTCTCGATCTGTAAATATATTTGCATACCTCCTAGTTTTGGCGATCTTCGAAGGAGATAGACACAGGCTGAAGCGGTCAAGACAGGCATGATATGCGCTGCCGGGATAATCTACTCAGATGTCAGTCACAAATTCTCAGCCGAAGGAACCAAGGAGTTTCTAGCCGACAGAAGCCACATAGAGCACTCGGGATGGTTCCGAAGAATGCGACAAAGACGGACGAATGTACATACAGTCACGTGTAAATAGATTTCGGAATACCCAGAGGCAAGTCAGAGCGAGCGTGAAATTCAGAGTACGGAATGATTCATCCACAGTCGTTGAAAGGAGTTCGGAAAGGTGACAACGCATCATTCGGGAAGCTACATGACGATTGTAACAGAGGTGACCATGAGTACGAATAGTGTGTACAGAACGAAACGATTGATTATTATCAGGAAACAGTGCTACTAATAAACTCGTGTGTCATTTGATATCCATGGACCATCCCTTCCTCTTCCAATATCGCAAGGGCCTTGTTGAGGCTAGCCTACGACAGTATCAGATGTACATACGATCAGTCAGTGTAGGTAAGGGTAGAGGCAGACCAAGACAACCCACATCGAGGAGCTCGGAATGTCCAATCATCAGCCATATGATGATTTTCGTTTCAGGCCGGGACGTTCGCGTCATTCCTGCTTGGTGAAAAATACGCGGCTCGAAAGTTTCGTCGAGGATTGGGAATCTCAGGCCTCAGGTCGAGAGACGAGCTAGAATGGACTATTATCTCGTTGTATCGTTGAGCGCAATCGAAGCGTCCATTTTGTGAGGATGCCATGTCAACAGCCCAGTCTTGTCAGGACGACTCGGCTGTCTCCCGAACTTAATCGGCGGAGAATTCCACGATACCTCGAGAGCGTCCTTTTTCGGAACTCATTGATCTTCCGCAATCGGGACGAGGCGGAGGAGAGGAGGGAAGAGAGTCCGAGCCCTCAACTTGACATCGGTTTCACGCCTACTTCTAGCGAAGTGATGTCTCCGCATTCGTTCGCAGGACTCGCGACGGTGGATCCAAGTGGTCGCTGAGTGAGAGCCTCCTCGTGGAAGATCTCGAGACCTCCAGATGCAAACCTCCCGTATGTGGGAGCCTCCAAATGTGAACTCCAACGCGCCTTACTGTTCATTCATTACCCCTGTGGCGCCCAGGTAGAATATAAATGATTGATGGAGACGAGCCAGAGGGAGCGATGACGAAAACGTCATGTCTGACGCCTCTCGCCACACCCGTCGAGCTTGCGAGGAAGCTTTTCTACCGTTCTGGGAAGAAGAGCTAAGAACATGACCTCGGGGGAAAAATTTCCATTTTTATTCCTCAAACAGCTCAGCAGTGAGGTCCGACGGATATCGGTGGAGCAGAAGTAGTGTGGTTTGAGACCTATATTATACATTTATTCCTACCGTGCTCAGTTTTCTGAAGAAGTCGCGAAAAGACCGAGCCGGTCCACTACCAACACTTCATTCTAGTAACAATCGTCAGTTTCTTTTTTAAATACACAGCGAAGTTCCGCAACCAGCAAGCAACATGATCAGCCAGCACACAGCGACGAGATCCTCGCACTCTAATTCATCAAGATGTATTCAGGAATCCGTTCCTTCACCACACACCCTGGCTGTCGCTCTTCTGGCTCTGGCTGTCCCAACCTTGGTTCTGGTTAGACCAGCCCTGATCGGCCTGATTCTGGTTGTCCCATCCCTGGCTCTTCTGCTGTGATCCACTTTGACTCCATCCTTGACCTGAAGTTTGATTGTCCCATCCTTGGGTGGCCTGGTTATCCCATCCTGAACTCTTTTGCAAACTCGCTTGGTTGTCCCAGCCCTGGCTCCTCTGAGAGCCTCCCTGGTTCCATCCTCCTTGGTTCGAAGACTGGTTGTCCCATCCTTGGCCCTTCTGGGAGCCTCCCTGACTCCAGCTTCCTTGACTGCCAGCGGGATTGTCCCAGCCTTGACTCTTCTGAGCGCCTCCATGGCTGCCTCCCTGGTTGTCCCACCCTGGGCTTCTCTGGCCCCCTCCTTGGCTGCCTCCTTGGTCCCAACCTCCGCCTCCTTTACCGTGACCTCCTGGAACAAGACCTGAAGTTTACGAAACTGCAACAACGAGATTCTCTACTTCTTCTACGATGTTCTGAGATTTTTTCCGTCGCTTCCGGTCCTCTTCCGTGAAATGCGCGGCAATCGAGGCTCACCTCCATAAGATTTAGCAGATGGCGTGTGATGGATCGTTCCAGAGTAACTTGATGTTTCAACTTGCTTTCCTCCTCCGTATGATCCGCCATGGATCATAGCACCGAGATTACCGTGGTTGCCTCCGTAGCTTCCCCCATGGCCACCGCTATGTCCTTGATCGAAGCTTCTTCCGGCAGATCCGTGGTAAGCCCCTTTGCCTTGGTAAACGTCACCGCCTGAAGACCAGCCACCTTGGAATCCTCCGTTCCCTCCGCCTGGGGAAGATTGAGCCCATCCACCAAGGTTCTGTTGACCACCGTCAGACCATCCTCCTTGGTTGTCTGCGAAACTCTTCTGGGGTGCCGCGGACCATCCCCCTTGGCTTCCACCGATATTCTTCTGGGGGGCGGCAGACCATCCTCCTTGATTTCCACCGAAACTCTTCTGGGGTGCCGCTGACCACCCTCCTTGGTTTCCAGCCGAAGTTTTCTGCGGCGCGGCCGACCATCCTCCTTGGTTCCCTCCGAATGTCTTCTGGGGAGCGGCAGACCATCCTCCTCCTTGGTTTCCACCGAGACTCTTCTGAGGAGCTGCTGACCAGCCTCTACCTTGATCGCCGCCGAAACTTTTCTGCGGTCCCGAAGACCATCCTCCGCCTTGATTTCCACCGTGGCCCTTCTGAGGTCCGGCAGACCATCCTCCGCCCTGGTTCCCACCGAAACTCTTCTGCGGACCTGCTGACCAGTCTCCTTGGTTACCAGCTAAATTCTTCTGAGGACCAGCCGACCAGCCGCCCTGGTTCCCTCCGGGAGCCTTCTGAGGTGCCGCTGACCATCCACCCTGGCTTCCTCCGAGACTTTCCTGAGGCCCCGAGGACCATCCTCCTTGGTTGCCACCTAGACTCTTCTGCGGACCCGAGGCCCAACCGCCCTGGTTCCCTCCGAAGCTCGACTGAGGTCCCGCAGACCATCCATCCTGGTTCCCACCATGGCTCTTCTGAGGGGCAGCAGACCAGCTTCCTGAGTTCCCGCCGATGTTTTTCTGAGGACCCGCCGACCAGCTCCCTTGGTTCCCGCCGAAACTTTTCTGAGGACCAGCCGACCATCCTCCGCCTTGGTTGCCTCCGAAGCTCTTTTGAGGAGCAGCTGACCAGCTCCCCTGGTTACCACCGTGACCTCTCGGAGGTCCTGCTGACCAACTTCCTCCCTGGTTTCCGCCGAAACTCTTCGTTGGACCGGCGGACCATCCTCCTTGATTTGCAGCGAGGCTTTTCTGAGGCGCTCCTGACCATCCTCCCTGGTTGCCACCGTGGCTCTTCTGGGGGCCGGCAGACCAGCCTCCTTGGTTTCCATTGCGGTTCTTCTGGGGACCAGCGGACCAACCTCCTTGGTTTCCACCGCGGCTCTT